AATAGAAATACGTTAAAAGCTTTTTCGTCTAGATGGTGACACCAACAAAATATATATCTTTTTCTACTATTTAGTGATAAACAGTACGTAAGTGATTTGAATTCATGTTGTTATTGTTTACATACAGTAATTTTATCATTTATTTATTAAAAAAATATATACTCGAAATTGGAAGGTATGTACTGAGATGTGAATTATAAATATGTTTTTGTTTAATGAATACCTCTTCGAGTTAACAATAATTATTAATTCCAGCATGTTAATATCTCTTCAATCCGTTAAAGTAATGTAAATATTTTTTCTTGCTTTCGCGCATGGCTTTGATCTGTCGCACCCTTTGAAGCGCGTTGCAAGAGAAAATTTTCTAAAAAGTTAGCCAATTTCTATAAATGAGGAAAAAACGATTTTGACAAGCTGATTGTGCATTGTGGCAAAATAAAAGACAAGTCACTGCTTTAAAATTTGGAGAAATTTGTAAAAAAATTCCTAAAATCTTTTATTTATTTGTAAAGCCACCCGATATGGCAGGGACCATAAATTCAGAGCAAAATAAAATATGGAAAATTATTTGCAAGTAAAAGTTTTTAAATGTTGACATTTTATTGAATTCGAATTTGATTATGTTGCTGCCAGTCTGGATTGAATTAAAAAAAAAAAAACAAAACTCTATGATAGAGTTAAAATGTCCATATGGAGCTGAATGCTAACTGTAAAAAGGACAATACCATTAAGGAGAACCACTATTGGTATTTTCAAATTCAGGGCTAGCTGCACATAACACAAATGGATTTTTGCATTTTGTGCTTTTGGACTTCTGGAGGAATAAAAGTGGAAAACATATCTCATAATGACAGCTTTTGGGAAGAAAAGATACAAAATAAAATTAAAATTTTTTATATGCAATATGCCTTGCCGGAACTTGTTGACAGCGAAGCTAATAGAGACATGGAAGTACGAGACAGAATACTAAATAATTTGTAAGAAATTTTGTTTAATGTTTATTAACATAACGCAAAGAATCTTAAATTATTTTGAATATTTTTATTAATTTAAGAATTACATTTTATTTATTTCTAAAACATGGTAGTAGGCGATCCATTTAAGATATAATTAATGTCTTATTATTATAGAACACTATTTTAAATTTAGCATTTTACCAGTGGCAGTGGTAATTGATATATAATTATTATTATACCAAATGTTTTAAAAGGCTACACCAACTAGTGGACCACGCTTTTAAGTCCCCAAATAATAGTTTCAAGATTTTGATTCGGATTAGAAGTTTTGTGTCAAAGCCAAGTCATGTATTGATATTGTAATACGTAGATGAGTAACTGTCATCAATAGAAATGGAAAATTCACACATGAATCTTTGTAACGACGTTATTTATAACTTTATTAACTTCATAATGGTCAAAATTTTTAGTTAACTTATTTTATTTTATATATAAATTTTCATTTTAACTTAGAAATTTTCGAAAAGTTTACTATATTGTTTAGTTGTTGCAACTTTACTGCGCTTAAGTTGCGTTCAGATTAAAATATGAATTGATTTATGTAGCTTAACTAAAAAACAGGAACTAATGCTTTCATTCCAAAAAAAGTATTATGTTCAATAAAAAGAATTTCGAACTGTGTGTTGTGACCAACGTGATTGTCAGCACACCTCCCTATATATTATATTTTTGCGTATACAAATCGGTTCTTTTATTCGATCTTACCTAAAAAGCAGAAATATAACATTTTCTAATTAAATGAATCACACTCGATAAGCAGAATACATAACAATAGGTATACGCAAAAATATAATATATAGGGAGGTGTGCTGACAATCACGTTGGTCACAACATGTGATATCTGCAAGTCCTTATGATTATACAAGAGTTATCTTTACAAATTGATAGAAATATCGAACAAAAGTTTATTGATATAAACATTATTTCCATAATACTAATAAATATATCTCTATATAAATATACTCATAATTTATTTAATATATTCATTTAAACATGTTTTTGTTTTTTGTCTGGATGATATTGAATACTAACTTTTTCTATGTAACTTCGTTTACCCGAGACATTGTGAGATAAAAAAAACAGACAATTAATTAAAAGCGTACTCACAATTTTTCAGGTATAGAATTTTCAATGCTATACTGTTTCCCAAATTATGAAAATACTAAAGAATATTTAAAAAAAAAAAAATAACAAAAAGCCAATTAAAGAATGTGTTAATACCTACAGAAGAACATCGTATTTCTTTTTTGGAAACAAAGAGTAGTCGAAAATTGTGAAAATAACAACATATTTTTATTACACAAAAATAATAAGTCAGTTTTTGTTTTTTTTTTTATGTAAATCATATCAGAAGAAAAGTCACCGAATACCGATTTCAGAAAGGTCTATTAGTTTTTATAGGAAATGGAAAGAGAAAAAACGCTCTTTAATTAAGTTAAAATTCTTTACTAATTTCGCTGTTTCTCTTTGACGATGTCCGGTCTTCGTCTCGTTTAAAATCGATAACTATAAACAAATTAAGGTATTTTGTACCGTATTAAAAAATTTAAGAAAATTTTTTCTTTTTTTAAAAAAAATAGTAAACTTTGACAAATATATACAATATTCTAAAAGATAAATCACATTTATGTGATTATACAAAAATTTTATTTATTTTTCTAAAATAATATGGATTGTCCTCTAAAATATATATAGTGGCTCGCAAAAAGTCTGCTTTTTATATGTTACTTTTTTCAGAAAGTGTTATTCCTGATAAAACTTGATGTTTAATTAAATCTAAAACTTTATTTATTTCAAAAATTCTGTATTATAAATATAAATTTGGCTGCACAGTGAACTAGGTACTCTTCTAGGAACCGAACCCACATTTTTACATATAAGATTAATTTAAGAAAATGTATACAACTCCAGATAGTAGTTTTTTAGTTAATACAATTAATATAGATTATTATATCCTTTTTAACCTACTTCAAAGAGGAGGAGGTTCTCAATTCGTCTGTATATATTTTTTTATGTATGTTCAGCGATAATTCTTTAACACAATGTCCGATTTAAATGATTCTTTTTTTTTGCTGGAAAGAGGATACTTCCGGGATAGTCCCTTTTAATTTTGGTCAAAATCTAATAATTGGGTCCATGAGAAAATCCTCAAACTTTTCATTTTTTATGTATGTTTAGCGATAAATTCTTTACCACCTTGTCCGATTTCTATAATTCTTTTCGTTAGTAAGGGGGTACCTCAGGGGTGGTCCCATATAAATTTGGTTAAGATGTGGTGATGGCATCAGCACGATTTTAAAGTCGGTTTTTTAAAATTACTTTTAATACTTGTTACGTAAATTAAAAGTTTAATAATTTGGTGCTTTCTTGATGCGTCGTTTTATGAACACTTTGTATATGTTTAAGTACAGATAATTATTATTACTGGCAGTTTATTTTAAATCATTAAAATAATATTTTGTTAATCCAAAAACGGCAAGCAAAAAAGCCATGTCACATTCAGTGTAATAATAAAAATTAGATATATAAATATAGTATATTATGTACCAACAGACTAAACTTTCACTTTCAATCCCGCCTTTTTGTCGTAAAAGACTTCTAAATTTTTACTAGTGACGTCCGTACCGGGTTTGAACTGAATATTTTTGAACAAAAATATGGTACGCCACTGCTTCTTCTAAAAACCAAAATTATCTTTAAAATCCTTATTTATTTTGGAACAAATTTGGTTTATAGACGTACTTTCGTACGACGCACCCTTTTCGCGTAAGAAAATAAAAACCAGTTTATTGAAACTGCTTTTGATATTTTGTTGAAATTTGGTAGGAACCCACCATGAGTGGAAACACTTTTTTTTGGCAAAATAAAATAGTTATTTTTTTCTTAAAACGTAAAACACCCAAGGATTCACACCCTTAAGTATCGGCACTCAATTAATAAATACCCTGTATTAAATTACCTTATTCGAACCAATCGTCTATTTTTTCGTTATTTGTATTTATATTTCACAATTCTATACTCTTAAATCTAATTTAATCTAACTAAACCTATTCACTAAATTAAAATATAAAAATAATGTAGAAACCTCTAAAAAATCGAATTGCGTTATAACAATATGGGAGATATGCACCGAGAAAAACAAATACGATTCTGGTTCCCCTAATTTAGGTAACTCTGACTCACTCAAGAACAAGAACTGATAAACGTCTGTCGGCAGCCGTTGTAGAATTTTTAGGTTCCTATGAGTCTCAACTTAGCGCGTTAGAGTTTGGAATACGTATCCCTCGTATCTACAGGCAATTGTTAAAATTATGAATGAATGCGGATTTTGTTTAGTCTCGGAAGTAATTTTGTAGTATTTAGGCTCCACCCTTAAGTTGTAATTTTTATACCTACTAAACTACCGTTGCCCCGCAGGTCTTTCAGTTTGTAATGTAAATTTTCCTCTTAAGACAAATTAATAATTTTTAAAATGACCGAGTTATCAATGAAGGGGAAAAGTGGAGCAAATTACCGTCGTCGTGTCGTCAAATGCAACTTGCAAACAACTAGATTAAAAAGGGGTGTTAATATTAAAACCTCATTTAAAACCCATGTTCGTTTTAACATTTGCCTGTTTTATTTAAAAAAACAGCATTGGTATTTTAAATCATGATTAAAATTGAGTATATACCGTATATTTACGCAACAGAATGACTGTAAAAATGGTAATTTTTTTGGCGGTCGTAGATTATAGCTGGGCGATTATCAAAATAAATAATCGATTGTCAATTATTTGAAATAATCTATTATTTGAAAATAATGGATTAATAGTAAAAATCGATTAATCGAAAATAATCGATTTTCGTTAAAAAAAAAAATAGAAAATAATCGATTATCGATTTTTCAAAAAATTCAAATACTTCTGATCGATTAATAATCGATTATTTTACACACCCCTATCGTAGATAACAATGTTTTATTTTTAACTTTAATTTATTTCAGGAGTCGCTTTAGTTGGCATGGCGGAAGGATTGGCATTAGCAGACAGATGCGGTATTTCTTCAAAAGACGTCCTCAACATATTCAATTTGACCAATTTAGCGTGCGGATATTTAAGCAACAAAGCGGAGCTGATAGTAAAAAAAGAATTCAAACATGTCGAACAAGCTATCAAACATATGCAAAAAGATATGCAGCTCGCATTGGACCTATCTGACCAATTAAAACAACCTCTATTGATGACGTCGACGGCCAACGAGGTATACAAGCACGCCAGGAGGTTGGGATACGATGAACATGACGCTGCTTGCGTATATATGAGGACGAGGCATTAATAAGTTTTACAGGTCTCGAACTATTTTTAATACTTTTTTGTTATCGTACATATTTGATTGTATTTCGTGTTTTTTTATGGAAGAACATTAGTTAACCTTAATAGGATTAGTTAAACTATAGCTGAAACAAAACAATTTGTGTTTTGTAAAATTTTCTATCAAGTGTTAGTTTTATGCAAATTTTAGGTTTGACGATTGAGATAATTTTTTTAAATCAATCAAATTTCTTTGAAAAACAAAACGAGATTACGTTTTTAATAATTAAATACTTAAATCAAAAAAACTGCGAAATTTATAAAACTTAAAAGTATTAGTTCTCTTTAAGTAAAACAGTGTTATTAATAAAGTTTTTAAATAACGCATTTCCTTTATTAACATACAAAAGAATAAAGAGAGCGGGAATTGCAATGAATTTACCACCAAAGAATTTGTTTGGGTGTCAATATTTAATAAAGTATAAATTACTGTGGCATGATATATTAAATAACATAAAATATTGTAGTTATTGATCAAAGCTGAAAAAAATTGTAATAAGATCGCATTGTAAAGATAGCACAATCGCTTTCAAGGTTAGATATTTATTTAACAAAAACATTCACTATTTTGTTTTACATACTTTTTTTTATAAATTTTGTGAAAAATTCTAAATTGTTCAAAAGATAATATTATTTCTTGAATGTCAGTTATCATTAAATAATACTATTTTGACTTTTTTTTTACTTATCAACCCACTAAACAAAATAAATTCGCTGCAAATTTATTGGAAGCTTAAAAATATAAATGTAAGTTTACTGCAAGTTAATATTTATTGATAGCTTTCAGCAAGTTTTAACCTGCCACACTCTAAACTTGAAAAATTAAACTTCATATGCCATGCTTTATGGAAACTTACTAAATTAACTTTTTGTAAACATACAATCAAAAACTTATTTTAACGTTTCAATAGAACTTTTATTTACAAATTATCTGAAAAATTTCAAAATCATACTTGTTAAATTTAAACTTCTATCAAACTTTTATTATAAATACGATTTCATTGTCTTTATACCAGGTGTTTCATTATATTTTGAACATTTCTAAAATCCTGTAACTTTTGAACTAGTTGAAATAACAAAAGTCGGTTTTCATCAATCTTTTTTTAATTTTTATAAGTTTTTATCTGTGTAGGTACCTGTTGTTTTTTTCCTCACATTCGACTTAATCAGTAATATACATTCTGTATTTTCGGAAATAGAGCGAATTATTTTTCTCAATTCAATAGCCAACTGTTTCCCCCCTTTCCTAAAATAGCATACTTTTATAATTGTTACAAGAAGTAATGATTTTATAAGTTCTTAAAATAAATATTACATGTTTTCATTGTTCAATAAAGTTGTATTTTATTCTTTGTAAGATGGAATATCATATGTACAAAATGTACATCTTGCGAAGTATAGCACTTTTGGAAAGTGGAATTAATGGATTTTCAAATTGAGAAAGTTTTTTTTGGTGTCATCGGCATCAACTGCTACGGTTATTAGCCTCGTGTTCTGTGTAGGCTTTGTTACTGTTTCCCAGCGCCACTTTAGGAACAGCACTGTTAATTAGTACCCAACAGTGAATGGTCGAGTGGGGAATCCTACCAAGGCATCAGAATTAATTTTTAATTATGTTAAAAACGTCCCTGTAAATCTAAAGCACAAGGTAAAGTAAATAATTTTCAGTAGATGTTGGACTTTAAATTTTTCTTAAATGCATCATGTTTTTTGAAGTTAATAGAGAGTTTTCGCCACTTGTTACTTTACGAATACGGTAACCTTATTTCTTACCTTATTCAAAATAAGGTTCAAACAAAAATTGTGTTACCACCAATTTCATGCTATACAGTAATGCTGACTACATCCCCAAATAGTCATTGATGAAAGTGTCCTTGTGTGAAGGCAAGTCCCAAATAAGTCCATCTCTAAATCGGAGTGAGAGAACTGATTATGCTGGCTTAACCCTCTATTGAATGAATGAATTAATTATAGTTTTCAAAACTGCTTCAAAAAATTAAAGTTTAATCTTCTTAATGTAGCAAATAAGAAAATAACATAATTTACCTTTTTTTTTTTTTCTATTCCCTTTTGGGTACATTATGCATTCAAAGATAAAAACCCATTGGTATTGAACGTTTATTGAAAAAATTTTGGATAACAAAAAAAATTATTCATTCATGAAACTGCACGAAACATTTTTTTTTTTTATTTAAGCATAAATGAACTTGGCACTTTTGGCATTTCACGAGATTTTCCTTTGTAGTTTACACCTTTCCCTTTCAACTATCCATGCTGGCTAATGAGCTATACTACCAGTCTGTACAAAAGGATTTGGTCTAGGTTTTATACATCTCTTCACTGGTGGTTCAAGGGTTGACGAGCTTGGGCGATCTCGCTTCTGAGATGTTTTGAGCCCTTTTCTTACATAACTCTTCAGCTAACATGGTCTTGAATGATAGGAGAGGTATTACTTTATCCTTCACTCCAAGTTGTCGGTTTAGTCTTCTATGTAAGAGCCAATAATTGATAACAACGACATCTACCATATGATAAAATAATTTACCACCAAGGACCTGTGTTACGGCAAAAGTTATTATTGACACTTTTTAGACTAAATTTGCAATTAAATGAAAATATTTGGTTTTGGTAGGCCAAACAGTTTATAAGATAGGCAAAATTTAAAAAAAAAGGAAGTAATACTTTTTTAGTTTTCGACAATTTTTACCCCTAAGGAGTGGATTTATGGAAAAAGTTACTTCTTTAGTTACTAAAGTTTACTAAATTCCCAACAAAATGAGACCAATTATGTCAACTTACACCTGATAGTTCCTGAGACACAGCTGTTCAAAGTTGTTGAGGTAAGTAAACAATTATGTCTAGTACATAAGGGTTTGCAATATGAAGTGAAATAAGCATTATAATTTATTAAAATAAACATTTTACTAATTAAAACAATATGAAAAATGTACTAAAACGCCTCATTGTATTTTATGGACAGCACAGTTGGGGAAATAGTTATTACTCGCATTTTTTGTATATTTTTGAGGGACCAGGCTTGTCCTCTGAATCCACAGCACACCTTTTGGGGGTCGAAATCGTCATTTGATGGTGTGTCATGAGGGGTTCATCAATGTCGTCACACATCAGGTCTGGTATGTTCTTGCAAGATTGGCCAGTGCAGTAGCTACCGCCCTAGTGAACAACTGGGAGCGAAGATCGCCAAGATTTTTCAATTTTCTGTGGCATCCATAAAGTGAAACGAGGAAGGTCTCTCCTGCGTTGCACCGTGGGCCAGATTCGCCTCAAAATATTGAAAAAATACTGATTGGTTATTTAGAGGGAAAAAAATATTAATAGGGTGTTTATTTGGAAAATACAATTTGACAATGCTGTTTTTGTATTTATATACAGGGTGAGTTAAAAAAATGTAGGCTCTTCTCCTATTTTGTTTTATCTTAATTCTTACTACAAAATAACCTAAAAGATTGCACATATCAAAAATCCCAAATGAGGCAGAATTATTATTTTTTTTTATAAATTAACGAAATAAGCAAATCTGTCAAATTGGCATTACTAAAGAAATTAACTAGGCAAAATGTGACTATTTTTATTTAAAAACGAGTTAAAGTAACAACACAGAATTTCCAAATTATTCGTTCTAATTTTGTGCACAACTTAAATGGTTTCTGGTAAACAAAACTAATTTTATACAAATGTTGTATTATACTGGGAACTAAATATAGTATATTACATTACGAGTGTGGAAAATCACTTTTCACACAAGTGATGTACAATATTTTTCCTACGACCACAAAATAATTTCATCAAAAAATGTAAAACCAGATTATTATAATAATTAAAATGTATTTAAAAAAATAATCAACAATAATCGTATTTATTAAATTTTCATAATTTCTAAACAAATAAAAAAAATAAAAAAAAAATCTGGCACAGCCAGGATTCGATCGCGGTCGTTGGACGGTCTCAAATTGCAAAGTTGATGCTCTAACCAACTGAGCTAACAGGCCTTACGGTAATTGATTGATCTAATCGCTTATGTGTTTAACCAGAATAAAAAGCAAATATATCTTAGTTATTTTAAAATTATTTTAAAAATAATTGTTAAAGATAAATATCTAGGATCTAATTTACAATAATTTAACAATCATATCGATTTTAGTATTAATATGGACATTACATAGATCAAAATAGAAATTATGTGTTTGACATTTTCTGACAGCTACTGCGGAAAGTAGCATATTCTCACTTGGGTGGAAAGTAAATTCTTATTCATACGCGTGTGATATAGGGCACTTTCCATAGGTCTATATAGTGTGATATGTGTCACTTTCCTAAGTGGTCGTAGGAAAAATGTATTATTCACGTTTAATTATTACTAATTTTTTATTTGCGTACACGTTAGCGTGTACCTCCTAGCCACAGCGATTAAAATTTGGCATGTGCCCTAGCACGGCGCGTATCGACAAAAATATTTAATTGCAAAAAGAGGTAAAAGGTTCAAGGAAATTAAATATATGTACCCCAAACTAGAGCTTTGCTAATCTCTTAAAATATCGCTATCGAAAAGTGGATAAATTGTTTAATATAAAAAATATTCAAAACCCATCAGCTCAAATTAAATTATAATTTTCAAACTTAAATCTAACTAAATAAAAGCATTATGTTTAAAAGGTTTAAACTTATTTCCAAATAGTTCAGCTATGTTTAATGTCAAATACAAAATTGAAACTTAAGTTTTTTGTAGTTAAACTTTCTATTAACTTTTGACAAGTACACAGAAATCTTTAGTGTGTTTGACGTTTGCTACATTACTACGGGTAACCATGGAAGCTGAAAGAACAAATATTGTTGATTTTAGATACTTCAAAGCCTGCTTGATCAGAATCGAGTAACGATAGTGTTAAGTTTGGAAAAAAAATAGGGGACTTATTCAATATTTTGAGGTGAATCTGGCCCACAGTG